ATGGTCATTCTTTCTTCGTGCAAGCAGCTATTTTCTGTAGTCTTTTGGGGTGTTTTTTTTTGTGAGGGGATAATCATCAAATGACGTCTTCCGCCCAGGGCCGGGCGGGAGGCAGTGTCAGACTCTTACTGACTAAAAACCCCCCTGTTCCTTCTCCTGCTCTCGGCCGAGGTCGCGGTGCCTCATTGCGCTTACCCCGCAACCCTGGCTGTGTCTTTTGGGGTGTAACGATGCATCTTAGTCATGTCCCATTTCACATACACTTAATAACACAATAAGTATTAAACAAAAATAAGTATTATGATTATTTAGACACCACTGACATACGGTGAAGGAAAACATCGTGAGGAAACCTGGACTTATAATTTCTAATTATAAGTTTGAAATCGCCAACCCGCATTGAGCAAGCGTGGTGATTAAGGCTCTAACCTTCTCCGTATGAGAAGAGGCCTTTGCTCAGCAGTGGGCACTTATAGGCTGATGATAGTATAAGTATTAAACTAATTTGTTTACTAATAAAACTAAGTCAAACGTTTTACAGTTGCCGCGTTATTTTCGAAACGTCATTGACATAATTATGTCAAGAAAATGGCGACAAATATGGCGACTGCATTATGTTGAAAATGTTACTGCGAAATGTGTCATCTGGATTATTATAGCATATTATTACTAGTGACCAGATTTGTTTCTGTGATAGGATAAATGTATTTTTGGATTCGATGAATGGGGAAAAGTTTTTGTTAAAAAAAACACCAACATGCTTAGGACGGTTATTGTATGTCTGTCTGTCTGTCTGTCATCTGAAACGATTCCCAGTAAAAATTAAATGAAACCACTTCTTTTTCAGTTTCTTAGTTGTTTTTTTAAACTCAGTCAAGCATTTTTTTTTTCACGGCGTCCGTACACAGGTATTTTCAAGCACTCTGTTATAGCCGCGGTAAGACAGGAGTGGCTTGAGAGGCGCCATGGCATCCCCACCTTCACCCTGACGCAGGAAGCTTACTTGGCACGGCAGCTTCGGTAGGTTACTCTTTTCATGTGATCCGGTGAGAGGAAACGGCCTAGTGTCGTCATTGTGAGGGTCACCTAGAGGAGACGGCGTAGCATAAGGTGGCCCTGCTTAAACTGAACACTGGTGTCGCAGTACTTACTTAGTCGAGGTACTGACAAGGAACTGGGAAGTGCTATCCGCTTTCTGCGAAGCAGTGGTGCTCCTAAAGAAGGAGCCGGAGCGGGTGAAGGAACTATCCACCGTAGGCCAGAAACGTTCCAGCATCCCGGGCGCGCCTCAAAGAGCCCACAAACCACTCCATAGAGGGCCCTACAAGGCTTAAGTTCAGAAGGGATTGCGGGACACGCTCAATAAGGATGCACGGTAAGGCAGCCTCGGCCTAGAGCAGGAGAAGGAACGGGGGGATTTTTAGTTAGTAAGAATCTGACACTCCCTCTCGACTAGAGAAGGCAATATGATGAGAATACAGGTATTTTTATTTCATGTTGCCTGTAATTGAAGTTTGAAGCTCGTTACATGGAACGAAAGTCTGCACGTTATTGACAAAAAAACTCTATGACATCTATAGAGCTCTTTTTTGTCTTTAAAAAAAAACTAAAAATCTTCTAAAAACAAACAAAACTTCGTCTTTATAAGGACCGGGAAAGAGGTAGTTTTAGAAAAACGAAGTCTACTCCTTTTGTTTACGGTACCCTAAGAGTACAAAGTAAGTCAAGGACAAGGAAGTTGGGGATGATTTATTATAATTATTATATATTTTCATATAACATTACTTTGGAGGATCCTGTTTTGTCTTCGAACTTAGTAGTGGACTATTGGAGAGGCATTTGTGACAGTCTACTGCTGGCCTATGTGGACCTCTTGTACATTAGATTAGATGTCAGCTGTTCTCTGAGTTTCTTTGTCGAAATTTGCCAAAAATTACTGACATACCTCATAGAATCTGCAATCTAAAGTGGCAATTGGCAGGTCATATCGCGAAGGACTGACGACTGATAGGCGAGGCTATGGCTCGAGCCTCCAGCACGAAAAAACAAAAGATGCAAGTTATGAGTCTGTTGTCATCCTAGCTGGAGGATTAAGGGGGAAAGCGGGAGGACTTTGTTCAGCACTCGACGCCATATGGCTGATGATGATGATGATGATGATGTACAAAAGACTACCCACAGACACGTAGCTAATGTACAAGAGCAGCTGTCCGCCTTCGTTAAAAATGTCCAAGTCACTTTCATCATCAGCCGATTAGAAACGACTGCTGAGCAAAGGACGCATATTATACAGAAAATTTGGGGATTCATCGTCACGCTTGCTAAAGGCGGATTGGCGAATTCGAACTTGTTATCAGAAATTATAAGCGTCCAGGTCAGTGGTGTCTTGTTAAGTATCTACTTGTAAGGTGCTATATCTATACTCCAATTATATCTATCTAATCTTTGATTTTCATACTTACGTACTTAATATTAACCTGCTTATACTACTTATATAACTTAACATATATAATACTAATATATTACCTATACTGCACACATATACATATATAATACTAATATATTAATTTTATTATTATTGTAAACTTAATAGAACCTATAGTAAGTCAATAGTTTAGAAATCTGATCCAACAGACAAACTGTGTGTACAGTTTTGTTGGACATTTTATACTTTTTATAATGTAAAATGTACCTTTTAAGCAATAATAAATAATAAAAATAAATAATAAATAAAGGGAACGACGGCGACGAGAACGCCCAGTTAGGTACACACGCTAGTCGGTTGCACACTGATTTATTTTTCTAAACTTCACAGTGGCGCGTGCCCACATAATACTTTTTGCTCTATCTATACCTAGATACGTAAATAAACTTAGGAAGTACATGTAACTCGGAAAAGTCACATTGGTACTTATCAGGTTTCGAAGCCGTCTCTTCATGCGTGAGAATCGGGCGCCTTAACCTCTGGGCCACCACGACAACTGTTATTTTTAAAACTGTATTTTTTTCTCATGATCATTCTAACAAAAATAGAGCGGTCATCATTCTCTACACAATTTCAAGAACGTTGGTCATTGTTGTCCCAATTACTGGTTCTACTCGCGAATTCGCCAGACTATTGATGTATTATCAGTCGGGGTTGCGGGGTAAGCGCCATTGCGCTTACCCCGCAACCCCGCCTCATGCCTCATTAGGCACCGCAGCCGCGGCCTAAAGTAGGAGAAGGGACGGGAGGCTTTTAAGTCAGTAAGAGTCTGACATTTCCTCTTCCTTCACCTGAGGGGAAAGAAGTCATTGCATCATTGGACCGGATACTTTTTCTTATGTGATAGTTCGGCAAACGAGATTACCTGATGGTAAGCAATCAGCGCCGCCCATGGACACCCACAACAACAGACGAGTTAAGAGTGCGTTGCTGACCTTTTGGGGGTTAGGGATTTGGGAGATTTAGGGATTCCGGAGGGATTTGGGGAGGGGAAGGATTGGGCTTCCGGTAAACTCACTCACACGGCGAAACACAACGCTGTGGTCGTTTCACGCCGGTTTACTGTGAGGCCGTGGTATCACTCCGGTCGAGCATTAGGTCCATTCGTGCCGAAGCATGGCTCTCCCACACTTAATCTAATCTATCAAAATTTTATTGTTCAATGTATAGTAATTTCAAGTTTATTTAAATAAGTAGATTTCGAAATGCCACTGGCTGCACGGTTGGCGCGGTAGCTGGGCAACTGGCTGCCGTGCGACGTGTCGCGGGTTTAATTCCCGCACGGAAACAACACTTTGTCTGATCCACAAATTGTTGTTCCGGGTCTGGGTGTCATGTGTATGTGAATTTGTATGTTTGTAAACGCACCCACGATACAGAAGAAAACCCTAGTGTGAGCAACGCAATGCATCTTGTTGCCAAAGGTCAAATTTGTTCTTTGGGCGAAGGATAGGTCTTGCTATACAACGAGGCAATTCTGCCAGCCTTCAGTCATTGACATCGATAGTTGGCCCCGCGTGGCTCGGACACCCCCAATTAAGTAGTTCCCGAGTTGTTTTTAGTAATTTTCCCCTATACATTTCTTAACTTTTCTTTGATAAAAACTTTTTCGTGACGATATCAAAATCAACAAAAAAGCAATTGTCAGAATTGATGCAGGCTTTATTGAGTTATGCACTTATAAACACATTTTTTGATTTAATTTTATGTGTATAATTATAGGTACATATAGATAATAGTTGTGTATATTTTTTGGGACTAATTAAATTGGAGATAGTTATTTTTACAAATCTAAATTGCTTTTTAATTAAACTTGTGAGCTGAGGTGATTTGAACCTTAATGACTTTGTAGCGATTGATATATTGGCCAAATTTATTTATTTATATATTTATATAATAATCCATACGCGCCGACTTTGACATTTATTATATTTTTATTAAAATTTTAACATTTTATTTATTCTCTTCTTCGTATTGTGACAAATTTCTTGATCTATATTTTATTAGCTAAATGGATTAGTTAAAAAAATAAAAATTTATCACATTATTTTTTTTAAATGTTTTATGACTTTTTTTAATATAACCTGTTTGTTGGTATTTATATTAATTTTGGAGATTTTACAACAATATAACATGACTTCGAAACACAATCAAACTGACCATTTCATCATTTCCTTGCAAAATACAGAAAAAAATATTAATCATTTTTAAAACGCTTATCTTGTTACTACGCACTCCCAACCCATCCATTTCCTAACCTTGACTTTCATTAAAGAGCTTTCGCGATATGCACTGTATTCGCTACGTAGCAAGATAAGGCTGCATACACTTAGCAAAATGGGATAAAACCACTCAAAAGAACCAAAATTCGATACCAAACGAAATGTACCATAGAATATTTTTTGGCACCAAAACTGAAATGAATTGATCCCTAAGCTACACAGGAAAAACAGTCAAGATACTAGCATATAGGTAAAACAGTTAAAAGAAACTATTTACTAAACCATTGCCTTACCTATCAGTTGAAGGAATCCGCTGTTTAAACAAACGCAGCAATGAAACACATCACTTTTTTCACCATTGCTACACACAAACTCATTCCATAGACCGAAAATTCGTCACTTCCACATGAAAAACAAAACACTGTCTAAAAAAACACTCCCCAAAAACATATTCGAGTGGAAAAACACTGAATTATACAAAAAAATGTGTTATTTTTGTGTATTTTCGAGTTTTTTTTTTAGTTTGGAAAAAAATTGAGATGTTTTATTTATAAATATTCGAGCGAGCGGCCCGGAGCTCGATCGCCCGCGTACCTCGGATTTCAGATTTAGGTTAGAACCGACTGGATATGGCGCCACACACACATGCGCACAACTGTTGTTACAGGAGCAAAGATTATGAAAGTTTCAGACAAGATAGCGTTGAGTACTTTTCGGTGTACACTCGAGTGGTTGGGCTGTTTTGTTTGGTGTTTTAATATTGGAAATGTGTTTTTGTTTTGTGTGTTTAGTCAAATTGGTGTGTAGGGAATGTTTTATTCGAAATTTTACGTAAATGTTATATTTCAAGATTGCGAAATTGTACAGCTTTTGTAACGAAACTAAGAGTTCAAGGGATAAACCTGGGGTTGTACAAATGTATCTTTGATTGAATTTTTAGATCGATTGATGTTAAATATACACTTCTAAAATATTAAACTCCGAGTACAAGTCAGATCATATTTTTCACACATCATATTATCTCGATTGGCAAAGAGATAGGTGCCTACTGACCTCAGTCAAAAAGAAATTATTTCAATTTATAAAACCATAAAATACTAAAAAACTCATCACACTTGCATTCATACATTTTTCTTATTCATATTTTTTTAATAATTTAAGAGAAATAAGTGTACTATTGACGCTTAAATATTATGACGTCACAGCGTGCTATTTTATGAAAGAAAAATGTAGAAACATAATTATTGTTTTTAACATTTCAAAATAAGTATTTAATTTGACTGATAGGAAAGTACACTATTCCATAGGCAAAAAAATAACAATAGACTTTTAATTTTCTATTGTAGTTCAGTAACATTTCCAAATGATTTTATTCCAGTCTACAGATGAGACAACTCTTTGCTTACTCACGCACACAAACACGCATCTTCTGGCAGACTCTGTGGCGTTTACGTAGTTTGCAGCACTCCGTTATTACTGAAAATACTCATAGTCACTCGGTTCAGAGACTGTGTAGAGTTCAGGCGGTTACTACTATTGAAACTCACTGCATTATGCGTGAAACTAGTCGTGAGAATGTCGTGAGTTACTACGCTGAGCGTGAGTTGAGTGGTGAGGTTGTCGTGGGTTGTATTACAGAGTTTTTCAATAATATTTGGGTTATTGTAATCGTTGCTATCATTAGTCAGAAGATAAACAAACTTCTTAATTAATATAGGTTATTTTTTTTTTATTTGTAAGAAAATAAATAACTTCACAGAAAATGTAATTTTATAAGGAATATTCTAAAATAAATTTGAATTATTACTATCGGAAGACTAAATTAAATAAATACAGGAGCGTCTTGCTCACGTGAATTAAATGAGAAAACCTCTACTAGTTTCAAGTCACAGCGGGAGTCTTATTACACATTCGCTAGAAAAAACGTAGCACCAGGTATACATAAATACAAAGGTTGTCACGAACATTAATTCAGTTCTTGTGAAAGTCTAAACTTCGGAAGGTCGTTATTAATCAACTCAACTCACTCAACAATTCGAAGCACCTGTTCCTATTCTTAAAACTTTCCAAATACTTTGGTTTGCTCATTTATTATTAATAAGATAAAAAATTACCTAAACAAATGGAACATATTTATAAACCTTACGTAAATCCTAATCAAAGTCAAAGCTTACATAAAACTTATTCGATTAGACATGTATTATGGGAATAGGATAGCAAAGACGCTGGCGGTAAGTTAGGACTTTTCAGTAATTTTGTGGGTTGTTATGGAATTAATAATACATATTCTTAAAAAGAGTAACGATCCATTTTCTTTCTCATTCCTCGCCATTCGAATTTATACTTTGGACCGAGCACCTGGCTTCACTGACGAACAGACTGACAGACTATTATCCTATTTTGACGTTTCAAAACTTTTTTTAAAACTCGTTGCACTAGGGTTTTCCCCTGTGTCGTGGGTGCGGTTACAAACATATAAATTCACATGCACATCACACCCAGACCCGAAACAACAATTTGTGGATCACACAAATAGTTGTTCCGTGTGGGAATCGAACCCGCGACACGTTGCGCGGCAGCCAGTTGCCCAGCTATCGAGCCAACCGTGCAGTCTACTACTTGTTTATGGTTTAGTTGGAATAAATGATTTTGACTTTGACTTTGATTTTAAGAACTGCGATACTCCGCGTCTCCTTATACAAAGCCGTACACACTTCACGCCACAGATCACAAACATCTCGGTATGAATTAAACCTTCGAAAAACAAACTCACTAGAATCTTATATCGGAGAAAACGACTTCTTGTCGAGAACAAGTGGTAGGGACTCCGAGTGACGTCTGACATAGTGAATCAGTACACACGTGACGTGATGACGGACAACATCGCGGTACACGCATATATCACGCTCCTAAATGATAGTGTAGTAAGCAGACTTCGTACGTACTTGCTAGACGATTTTCGACCTTGTTGCAAAAGGCATAACATTTAAGTGCTAATGCTTTTGTGGTTGGTTTCAAGCTACTTTGTATGGTTCAGAGTTTGTAACTTGATAGAAATATAAACTTTATTGTTGATAAGTTTTTCTATTTGATTAGTGATCTGCAGTGTGATTCTGTAAGACTTCATTCTAAACTTCGAATCTGAATCCGCTGTGAGTAGTACACTAGCGCTACACTTGTGAGTTGAACTAAATTGGCCGCAACATTTTGATAGATAAAGTATGAGATGACGTTAAAAGTGGCATTCTATAATGTAATTTCCCCGTCACTTCGACGCTCACTTCGCACTCGAACACGATTCAAAATCAAACAAATTTTATAGAATCGACGTGCTGATTGCATTAATTTTTAAAGGATTCAATCACAATATTCGTAGTTATTTTAATAAATAATCTTGCTGTCTGAATTTTGTAGAAGTAGAATTCCTAAACTTCACGCTTAGGCAATTAGGAATAAGGGATGTGATGGTAAGCTAACATGAAGATTCGTATAAAAAGCAAACAGCTCATTGATTTGGTACCAACGGAATGCAACAATGCTTACGTTGTGAGGATACCAGTAATTATACTATATTCGTGGTGGCCCGGAGGCTAAGGAGCCCGCTTCTCATGCATGAGAGTGTGGGTCCGTTCGAAACCTGGCAAGTACCAATGTGACTTTTTCCGAGTTATATGTACCTACTTTCTATAATTATTTAGACACCACTGACATAGGGAGAAGGTAAACATCGTGAGGAAACCTGGACTTATAATTTCTAATTAAAAGTTTGAAATCGCCAACCCGCATTGAGCAAGCGTGGTGATTAATGCTCTAACCTTCTCCGTATCCTAGCGTACGGCGCGTAGCGTTCCGCGCGCGCCTCAAAGAGCCAATAGACCACCACAGACGGGGCCCTAAAGGGCTGATGTTCAGCCGGGGTTGCGGGGTAAGCGCAATGAGGTACCGCGACCTCGGCACAGAGCAGGAGAAGGAACAGGGGGGTTTTTAGTCAGTAAGAGTCTGACAATCCCTCCTGCCCGGCCCTGGGCGGGAGAAGTCATTTGATGATTTTCCCCTCACAAAAAAAAAAAAAAAACTTCTCCGTATAAGAAGAGGCCTTTGCTAAGCAGTGGGCACTTTTAGGCTGATGATGATGATGAGGATACCAGAGGCCCAATCCGCCTCCTCCTATCCCCAATTCTCAAACCGTGAAAGCCCCAAAAAGCCTGCAACGCCCTTGGAAACTCTTCGATATCGCGAATGTCCATGGGCGGCGCTTATTGCTTAACATCAGATGAGCTGTAGGTAAGCTCGTTGATCAGTTCCATAAACCAAAAGATGGAATACCTTGTTGATAATCACAAACGTAGCTACAACAACTGCAGAACACATGCAGTCGAAGTACAAAAAACATTTATTTTTATGGTATAGGAAGCATAATTATGAGCATACGGATGGCCATGGACCCCTAAATCACCAGAGTAGTTACAGACACGTTGCCGACCTTTTAGAAAGGAGTACGCATGTTTCTTAAAGGTTTGAAGACCCTATCAGTTCGGTAATACTGCCGCCAAAAGATCATTTCAAAGTTTTGCTATGCGAGGCAGAAAGTTTTGCGAAAATCGCTCAATTGTTGACTGCCGTTCTGTAGAACGTGTTTCGTGGAGGAGATTGGGTCGACTCGACCGGAGTGATACCACGGCCGCACAGAAAACCAGCGTAAAGCAACACTAACGTTGTGTTTTAGTGTGTTAGTGAGGTTACCTGAGGCCCAATCTTCTCCTCCTCAATCCTCAAATCCTCTATCCTTTTTTTTTTACTTGCAATAAACTAGTGCTTGACTGCGATCCCACCTGATGGTAAGCAGTGATGCAATCGTTGATGGTAAGGCGCACTTGTTTATTAAGAGCCTATTCACTCTAGCCTTGAAGACACCTAAAATCCCTAACAACCCACGAGAGCCCTTCAAAGCACTTGTAGTAACTACTTTGATATTAAGAGTGTCCACGGGCGACGCTGATTGCTTTAACATCAGTTAATCCGTCAGTTTGTTTGACGAATAAGCCTAAGACTAAAAAGCTATGACAACAGACTCACCCCTAAGTATATATATATAATTATGTATACCAACAGAAACAGTCAAAAAGCAAGCTTTCTTTAAACAAAATTCTATCCACTTTATTGTGTAGTTTTAAGTTCCTTTCCCTAAAAAGAGGGGTGCAATTTTGTGTTTTTATTATTATTTATGTTGAGCAGTCATTATCATTAGGAATCGCATTGAGGATCAAGGGGAGGCGGTTATAGACCTTCAGGGGGGATGCCAAGTTTTTGTAAACAAATAGATGTTTATGTAGATTTTGCAAAATATTTCTTGGCCGTAATGGTCGGTTGAGGGAGCAAGGGTGACAGACAACTTTGAAAATTAATTAAAGACAATTTTAGGCTTCAGTCATTCT